GTCTACACTTTTCCACTAGATCCGAGAATAACTCAAATATTCAAGGAATTGTCTATCATTCATCATTGTCAGAAAGAACATCCCCTCATTCCATCCTTTCTTGGGTGGCACACTCATTTTATTTACGTAAATGACATTTATTGCTATTTATTGTTATTAAATGCTACATTTTTATTTCTGATTTGTGGAATATTCACTACATACCACTGCCACTGTCCGACCGTACTTGCACAATATTTATTGCTTCTTTGAAAACCCCATCTAAGAATATTATTGTTTGCTAAGATTAACCCTTATTTATATAAATTTAATTATTCAAACCATGATATATATTTTTTGGTCAATAAAAAACTAAATTGGAAAGTTTAACGTTCTTTGGTACTCCATTAACTAAGCGGGCTCGAATGAGTTGTAATAATGCTTCAAGTTTGGTATTTAATCAAAATTACAAATGTTTAAGGTGAAAATAACTCTGTGATCCTATGTGTAAAAGGTTTAGTATGTGAATTACTTTAGAAACATTGTCCGTAACCTTTGATTTCTTTATATGCATGGTTTTTTATAAATCAACACCAATAAATTTCAGTTTCTTTCTTTTCCTCTTTTAATTAGAAAAAAAGAGCAATGTTGGAAGTATTACAAGTATATGCTCTAGACTCTAGTAAAAGAACCGAAAATATCACCAGAGAGTATGATTGGTGAACGAAATCATTCACCTTTAAATATAGGTATCACACATTTGAGTACGAAAAATTTTATTTTGCGTCTCACACAACTGACACTAGTTGTATGAGGCCTCTTTTTTGTCTCACAACTGTGTAGTCCCAGAATTTTGTGGACCCAAATGTGTAAGATATGGGTCCACAAATATGTGAGATAAAAAGAGAGCTCACACAACTAATGTAAATTGTGTGAGACACAAAATAAAACCGCTCGTTTCGAATACACATCAGATGGTTAAGAACCAAAAACTATTTTCGGAGTTCGTAACCTTAGGTTGTTCCCTCCACTTTTGAACTCGTACACATTAATACCGATGATTTACATATTTTAAATTTCTCCCCCTTCATACGCCTTGCTCATATCAGTTTTTAAAGCCACATAGCCTTTATTTCCCTGTGTTTTGCGTTTCAAGTAGAGCATCGTTTCAAAAGAAATCAGTGCATTGTCCGAAATAAATCTTCCTGGGATGAAGGCACTTTGGACCTCTGTAATCGCTGCATTCATAAACTTTCCCATTTGATTGCTCATGGTTTTGCATGCGATTCTGTCAATCACATTGCATAAGGATATAGGGCGCAAATCTGTGATGTTCTCAGGAATCTCCTTCTTTGGAATCTTTGGGTTTTGCCAAAGAATGGGTCCTGAAGTTAATGAATATGGTTAATTACTAGTGTTAGATATCAATTCTCTCATGGGGGTACAGTATTTGGACAGTTTATACCAAGTAGAGATTTACGGCAAGGTGACCCATTATCTCCATATCTATTCCTTGTAGTTGCGGAGGGGCTCTCTGCGATGCTTAGAACTTATGATCGACGAGGTTTACTTCATGGCATCAAGGTGACTCCTCGGGCACCATCTGTTTCACACCTATTTTTTGCGGACGACGCCTTGTACTTTTTTCGGGCAGAGATTCGCGAGGCAAATATCATTAAACACTGCCGTGATAGCTATCAGAAGGCTTCCGGACAATAGGTCAATTTGCAAAAATCCGATTTATACTTTAGTCTAAATACATCAGAAGATATGAAGACTGCAGTAAAGGATGCGCTTGGAGTGAAAGAGATTGCTACACCAGGCAAATATCTTGGATTACCATCCATTGTGGGTAGAAAAAAGGATATTTTCCAATATGTATTAGATAAAGTCGGGGAAAAATTGCAAAGTTGGAAGCAAAAATACCTCTCTAGAGCTGGTAAGGAGATCCTACTGAAAATAGTGGTGCAAGCTATCCCAAATTATGTTATGATGCTATTTCTTCTCCCAACAAGCACCTGTGACTCTATCGAGAAAGCAATGAATGCGTTCTGGTGGCGTGGAAAAGGTGGTGACACTGGGAGAATGAGATGGATGGCGTGGAAAGGGCTATGTAGACAAAAAGAAGACGGGGGATTGAGATATCTAGAGGTTCTGAATTTTAGTTTGGCTATGCTAGCAAAAACGGCATGGAGTTTGTTGACACGACCGAAGGCACTAGTGAGCCGAATATATCAAGCTCGATACTTCCCTACAAGAGATTTGCTTTCAGCAACTGTGGGAAATAACCCTAGTTATGTTTGGCACTCATTATGCGCATTGCTTACAGGTCTTACAAGGGGGATGTGTTAGGTGTATAGGAGATGGACGTACAATAAAAATATTCCACACTCCATGGCTACCATTCGAGAACCTGCAAGTTATTCAAAGTGTGTGCCATAATGGGATGGAGGAGATGGTCGTGTCAGAGTTAATATGTGAGGAGACTCGAACATGGAGCGCAGTGAAGCTTGAGACAATGTTTAATGCACAGGAGATTGAACTAATACAAAAAATACCACTAAGCTCGACTTCACAGCCGGATAAATAGATGTGGTTGTTCGATCCAAAGGGCATGTATACAGTCCGTGGAGGTTACATAAGACTTTATGATCAAGTCGGACATTAAATTGAGGTAAGTCGCCGACGACTTTGGCAATCATTGTGGCAGCTGCGAACCCTACCAAAGATAAAAAACTTTATGTGGAGAACGATGAACAACGTGCTCCCAACATGTGACAACTTGACCAGACGACATGTGATGAATAATGCAATTTGTCCATTATGCTGGCAGCATCCTGAAACCATCGAGCACTGCCTCCTTAGTTGCACCATGGCTAAGGTATGCTTGCTGCAATCTCACGTGGGATGGACAGAAACAATATTGAATATGGAACAGTGGTGTAACAAGCTTAATCATACATTGAACAAGAATGAGATTGAAGAAGCAATTATGATATGCTGGGAGATTTGGAACTATAGAAATGGTGTAATCTGGAACCAAAGAACGAGTACGGTGGATCGCATACTAGATAAAGCCATTAGCTTCATCAATGAATGGCACCATTACGCACGCCATATGGTTCACATGGGCAGGATAACGAGGAGAATCGAAAGTGGAAACCCCTAGATGATTTGGCCCTCAAGTGCAATATTGATGCATCCTTCAACCTTGCAACTGGTGAAACTGGAGCACGGATGGCTGTTCGGGATAGGCACGGTGAGTTTTTGAGAGGTAGATCGACATATATAGGGGCAACATTCAGTCCAATGATGGCAGAGTCGTTGGCGGTAAAGGAGGCTCTTAGTTGGCTGAAGGTTCACTACGAAGACACCAAGATAGAGCTCGAGATGGATAGTCTACTTGTGAAGAATGCATTGGAGAAGGCCGAAGATATTTACTCGTATTTATCTGACGTGATTTCTGATTGTAAAAACCTCTTAAAAGGTTTTTAGTTTCTGTCTTTGTCTGTTGTTCGAAGGTTTGCGAATCAAGTTACTCATGCATTAGCATGAGTGGCTGATTCTATGTCAGGCTCGGTGGAGTGGAATGCTAGCCCTCCATCCCTTATTGTAGATGCTTTAAATTTGAATTTTGATTTGAATAGTTAAGATGATGATTGTTTCAAAAAAAAAAAAATATATATATATATCTATATATATATATATATATATATATATATATTCTCCCCCTTCAGACCACCGACGCTCAGAAGCAACCCACCGCTCTCAGTTTGCTACCTTGTTTCATTGTCATTTTTAAAAGTAATTGGAACAGTGGCTCAATATCTTTTCTACCCACTCTTATTTTCTAAATTCTTTGCAAATTTTTTTTAATAGAATTAATTTTAATAAGCTATTCCGAAAAGAAAATACATAATTCACCTAATTACTAGGAGTAATAGAATTAATAGGACCTCCTTTTTCCTTTATACTTTCTTCTTTTTCAAAAGTCATTATTTTAGTTTTTTTTTTTTTTCAAAAAAAAATCTTGAATAAAAATTTAACCTCCTCCGAATTCTTTAGTCCTTACAGCTTGTTTGCATGGTTGTTACATATCGTTTCATAATATATCGTATTGTATTGTATTGTACTGTATTGTATTGTTTAATGAATATAATATTTGGATAGATTATATCGTTTGACGTCGTTTCATGATATCACGCATCAGCAATATGAAGAATAAACTTGCAATATTATAAACATAAATTATGATACAGGGTAAAAATTTTATATGAAAATATAGGATAAATGATAAAATAAAATAACTTAATGATAATGAAGGGTGAGATTGAGAGAAAAAAATAAGGTAACGACGCGACCATATCAAATCGGTCGTTACATAAAATGGCACATTTTGTCGTAACGTAATGACAGATTTAATGAAACAATATACAATAAAATTTAAGTAATAATTAATCAAAACAAACATCGTATTTAAAGTAACAATACCATAAGATACAATAACTAACAACCATCCAAACAACCCGTTAATCTGCACACACATACAGCTAGAAAGCCAAACATAGTTAGAGAGACATAAATATAGGAGCAGTATATATGGAGGAAGATAGAGAGACGAGAGAGAACAAATAAGCAGAGAGAAAATGGGAATTAAAGCAAATACCAAAGTAAAGAGGAGCAGCAGCAATGAAGGTTGGGGAATGGGATTCTTCTTCATTTTCTTCCCAGAGGATGATTCCGCCATAATCACTAACAATGACGACAACAAAAAAACCAATCTTTTTTCCATTAATACGTCCCTCAAGTCCTCCAATTCCACTCATCTTATCTCTAAAACCCAATCCACTATCTCCATTTGTGTTCTTCTCATCTTCATCACTCCCCTCCTCTTCACTCTCTCCACTTTTGAACCCTCCACTTCTCGAAAACACCTTTTTTCTTCAAACAACAAATCAAACTCATCATTTCAACATGCATTGCAAGGAATGGGCTCTTTGTACATAAAAGGAACCAGAGCCATGAATGATCTTATTATAGCTCATCTAACTGAATCTGTCACTGTGAATGAACTTAAACTGTTCACTAGACTCTTCTACAGGTCAAAAATAGCCTCAAGATCAGACCTTTTATTCATACTCCCATCAAAGTCCATTCCTTTTGAAAAAGCAGTTGCTGAAGAACACAACTCATTCTTGAAAATCCTTTATAGCTACCAAAAGAGCAACTCAACATCCGATTTCGACACGACCCAATTCAAGATATCCAACAAGAAAGCAAATGAAAGTGCAGAGCCCATCTGGGGTCGCAAAATTCGCAGTAATTTCAGTCAGTTTGATCACAATACTGAGTCAACTCGGTTGAGTTACGGCTCGGTTGTTGGATTCTATGCTGATGAACTTGACCCGGAAAATTCCCTAACCGGGTTCTTGGACCGTGTACCAATGAGTTTAAGAAGATGGGCTTGTTATCCAATGCTATTGGGTCGAATCAGAAGAAATTTCAAGCATATAATGCTAGTAGATTTGAAGGAAATATTACTACTCGGCGACTCACTGAGTCGAGTCAAGAATTTGGGTCTAGACTCGGTTCTTGTTTCAACAATAACTCAGTCTACTGTAGTATCCAAGCATGGAAGAAAAAAATTGGAAAAAATTCAGGCCAATGGTAAAAAACAAGCCAGTCCAGCAATAATTGTGGGAGGAGCAAGAGGCGTTCGACGATTATCAAATGCTATGTTAACAGAAATTGTACGAGAACCATTGGAACGTAAGAAGAAGAACTCGGTTACTGAGTCAGTTCTGCTTAATCAACTCGTTGGAAATGAGTTTATACTGAAGAATGTGGAGTTGATTTTTGGCGAGTCAATTGCTGAACTGAGTTCACTCACTGAGTTGGATAAAAATTCAGATTCTTCATTAATGTTTGTGTCAAAATTTTCAATAGTTAGGCGAGGAAATAATAATGTGGATGTTAGTTCTTTTTTTAAAAAGTATTTGTGTTCATTTCCTTTGGATTCCACAGCTTACGGTGATTGTTAGGCACCGAATTAACTAGAAAAACAGGGAAATTTTAGGCTTACATTTTCTTTTAGCCATTTTATCCTTTGTAGTATTTGTTCATAACAGAATTTCTTCAATTATATTCTGAAAATTTCGTGTTAATGAGATGGTACTTCTATTCTATTCGTTTTATTATGTTTCTTACCTGGAGAGAAATGGGAGGGAAGGTTAAATTACTAATCGGTTGATAGGGTAACATGCTAGTTTAAAAAGAGATACGGAAAGATCATTTATGTGATGAATAATCAATGAAAAATTTGTTATGATAAATAATTGTATATTTATTTGATATATATTATCAGGCGTGTCAATTTATGATCAACAATCTGGCGTAATTATAATTGTTGTTGCATTTGCTGCAACCTATTCGATACCATAAAAGTTTATTCTTAATTTATAAGAGAGAAAATACCTTTTACTAGTTGCTCCATTTGATAAGACCTACTTATTTGATAGTACTAGGAGAGTTTATTCTTAATTTAATAAGAAAGAAAATAAAAAGACACGTAAAACATTCACTTTCATCTGACTCATTTAAAATGATAATTTTGATTGCATTAATCTATATATTTAACTTACATATCAAAAGTTTCGTAAAATTTCTTTAGTCCGTGTTCATCAAATATCTTCACGTAACATGAATCAGGGCAGTGGCAAATTCAAACAAAAGGGGTAGTGTGTGTTTGGGAGCACATTGATTGGAATTTGGAACCATGTGATGTTTTACCAAACTTCCGCCGTGTTTTTAACCCCCTTTTTACAAACTCCACAGAAACATATGAGCAAGAGGAAAACGCAAACGAAATAACGTGTGATTATTTTTTCATGCTTTTACACTTTATTTCATGACAACTTATTTTGCCAGCCTTTTCCAGCCAACCAAGCGTCTTGACATCTCTAGCTTAAGTTTGACATTTTATAATGGTAAGGGAAGTAAAGGAGAAAAAGGAAAGGGCCAGGAGTTAACTGAAGGCTTGGACTCGGAGAAATACAAATAAAATACTTATCAAAATATTTTCAATAGTATGAACCCGCCACGTGGACTAATACTACAATGACATGTGTCATAGGAGTTAAGACGGCAAAGAAGAATGGCGTGTACAAAAGATGTGAGCAACACCTGTTGAAGGGTTAAATAAACAAGCTGATAATTAACTGTAGTTAACTGTTATTGTAATCACTAACTAGGTTGGTTAGTTAGTTAGTAAAGGTAGTTAGAAGTAGATATAAATATCTTCGTAGCTTAGCTTAAATGCACAGCAGTTCATTTTTCCTCATTTCAATGAAACAGTATTTTCTTCCTCCTCTCCTTTACTGCTTCAACTCGTCTTCTATCTGAGCTTCAGATCTACTGTCCATGGCAGCTAACATGGTATCGGAGCCACCGGCAGTGATCTAGGTTGTCATTGTCTTTCAATTCTCTCTTCTGATCTCTATTCTCTGCTTCTAGGTTACTTCAATTCTGCAAAAAAAAAAAAAAAAAAAAAAAAAAAAATTAGGTGCTGAATTGTCTTAGAGTAATCACAAAACCGAAGCTAGGGTTTGTATTCTTTCATTCAAGGTGAATTCTACAATGGCGATTGGCACTGAAGAAGACAATACAACAGCTCGTACATCAGCTACTGACACTTTTGGAAACTCTGCTCCAGCCGGTTCGTCATTTCCTTCTATCGATCATAATCACCCGCTGTACCTACAACCAACTGACACACCAGGTAGTTCTCTAGTCTCTATTCAATTGACTGGATCTGAAAACTATGCCTTGTGGAGTCGTGCTATGAGAATTGGTCTGTTAGGTAAAAGTAAGTTAGATTTTGTTGATGGAAGGTTTCAAAAGTCTAAATTCGAACCAGAACTTCATGATCTGTGGGAAAAGGTTAATGTTGTTGTGCTGTCATGGATAATGAATGCTGTCAGACATGGTTTGTTGAGTAGTGTGTTATATGCATCTAGTGCTCACAAAGTGTGGGAAGATCTAAAAGAAAGGTTTGAAAAAGTGAATGGCTCCAAAGTATTGTTCCTTCATAGAAAAATGCACAATTTGACTCAAGGAACCATGACTGGGGCAAACTACTTCTCAAAACTGAGAGATTTATGGGATGAGCTTGATGCTATAATGCCTTGCCCAGGGTGTCCATGTCCTGAGTCCAAGCTATATGCTCAGCACTTTGAGGCTCAGAGATTGCTGCAGTTTCTCACTGGTTTGAATGACTCCTATGCACAGTCCAGGAGTCAAATTATGATGATGACTCCAGTACCTACTATTAACAAGGCCTATTCACTTCTTGTTGATCAAGAGAGTCAAAGAAATTTGGCAAGCATGGCCCAGGTTACACAGCTTGCAGAAGGTCTAGAGAGCACTGCTCTGTATGGGAACAAAGGTCCAAATGTCACCAATGGAAGTAATAGACAAAGGAAGAACAATATTCAATGTGATTACTGTCATTACAAAGGGCATACCAAAGAAAATTGTTTCAAGCTAATAGGCTACCCACCAGATTTAAAGTCAAAAAAGAAAGGAAGTACACCTGGACTTTATGCAAATTTTGCAGGTAATCCAAATTTTGCAGCAGAGGAAGAGCACATCAGCTGTGCAAATCAACTGAACACTGGACCTCATCATCAAAATGGATTCACTTCAGCTAATTCTATAACACCACAAATGACACAGACACAACCATTTTTTACCCAGGAGCAATACCAGCAGATTGTTCAAATGCTTTCCAAAGGAAGTGCAGAAGGTTCTGGCTCATCTAGCAAAATAGTTGTTGCAGGTATTCTAACTCATGTGAATGCATTTGTGTCTCAGTGTATCAATAGTGATTGGATAATTGACACTGGAACCTCAAATCACATGACATCTAGACTTGAGTTACTACAAACACATAAGTCACTTCCTACAACAGAGAAAAAAATAGCTCATCTTCCTAATGGTAATGCAGTGTTAATCTCACACACAGGGAGTACATCTGTGTTGGATAATCAGAAGATTTCTAATGTACTCTACATTCCAGACTTTAAGTTCAATTTACTCTCAGTTTCACAACTCACCAAGGAACTAAAGTATATGGTAGGCTTCTTTCCTGACTTTTGCATTTTTCAGGATCTTTACAGTGGTCAGGTGAAGGGGATTGGTAGAGAGGAACATGGACTTTATGTGCTTAAAGGAGGTGTTTCAGAATAATTTTTAGTTCAAATGCAAATAAGAGTGCATCTGCAGTTACTGCTCCCTCTCTTGCAGGCTCAAGCTGCTTGTGGCACAGGAGATTGGGACATGCTCCCTTAGATGTAATAAGAAGAGTATACAAGTTGAATAAGTTGACTTCTAGTGACAGTCACCACTGTACTGTATGCCCACTAGCCAAGCAAAGTAAACTTCCTTTTCAGTTTAGTAGTACTGCAACTAAGTCCATTTTTGAACTAGTTGACTATAGTAGATATACTTGGACATTTCTTTTAACCTCTAAGTCTGAAGCTTATGTTGTGCTAAAGAATTTTCTTGTTCAAGTTCAAAATGTATTCTCTACCACAGTTAAGATTTTGAGAACTAACAATGGAAGTAAGTTTTTTAGTACTGATTTCAAAAAATTATTGTCTAGTCTTGGTATTGTGCATGAAAGATCATGTGTGTATACACCTCAACAAAACGGAGTTGTAAAAAGGAAACATAGAACTATTCTTAATATGGCAAGGGCACTCAGATTTCAAGCTTCTGTTCCTTTAAAGTTTTGGGGTGAGTGTGTTACTACAGCTGCATACATACTGAACAGACTTCCTTCCAAAGTGATTGACTACAAGTCACCCTTTGAGATGCTTTATTTTCATTCTCCTTCTCTGTCTCATTTAAGAGTCTTTGGTTGCTTATGTTATGCTGCAACTCCTAGAGTCCTAGACAAGTTCTCACCCAAGGCTGTTCCTGCTGTGCTTATGGGATACTCTTCAACACAAAAGGGTTATCTTCTGTATGAATTGTACTCAAAAACATTTCTAGTAAGCAGAAATGTCATATTCAAGGAAGTTGTCTTTCCTTTCAAACATGGGAAATCATATGGCAATCCTGTATTTCCTGTGTTGGATTTACCCTCTCCAGTGATTCATGAGAGCACTACAGTTGGTACTACTACACCAGCTCCTTTGCCATCACCTTCTCTGAATTCATAAGCTAACTATTTCTCAGATGTTGAACTACAACAAACATCTGGTCTGGAGGAGCATTTACAGCAACTTGACAATTTTGAGCCAAATGCTGCCCTTGATGTTCCCTCACCTCCTGCTGAAGTTCCTGCCTCTGATGCAGTTAGTGATGAACCTCCCACAGGCTGTAGAAGATCTTCCAGACCAAGCAAGCCTCCTATTTGGCTACAGGATTATGTCACAAAGACTAAAGGTACTAAGTGCAACTTCCCTATCTCTGCACATGTGAACTACAATCATCTCTCCCCCACTTACAGATAGGCAATCTCAGTTTACTCAGCAGTTTCAGAACCATCTAACTTCAAGGAAGCTGCATCTGATCCTAAGTGGATAGAAGCTATGCAACTTGAGCTACAGGCCTTGGAAGATAACAATACTTGGTCTGTTGTAGACCTACCTCTTGGCAAGACACCTATTGGTTGTAGGTGGGTGTTCAGGATCAAGTATAAGGCTACAGGTGAAGTTGAGAGATTCAAGGCTCGACTGGTAGCTAAGGGGTATAGTCAAAGAGAGGGCCTGGACTATGGAGAAACATTCTCACCAGTGGCCAAGATGGTCACAGTGAGATCTGTTATTGTTGTTGCTGCCTCAAAACAGTGGTACATCTATCAAATGGATGTACGTAATTTGTTTCTTAATGGTGACTTAGATGAAGAGGTATATATGGTGTTGCCTGAGGGGTTTGCTAGACAGGGGGAGTCTCAGAAGGTCTGCAAACTACAAAAATCCTTGTATGGCCTCAAGCAATCCAGGCAGTGAAATCTAAAGCTTACAGAAGCACTTGCACATATGGGATTTCAGCAGAGTCACTATGACTACTGTAGAATATGACCTATCCTTCAGGAAAGGAGATGCTTGCTGATGAAGTTCTAAGAGATCCTGGTGTCTATCAAAGCCTTTTTGGGAAATTACTATACCTAACTATGACCAGACCTGACATCTCCTTTGTAGTACAGGTCTTAAGTCAATTTATGCATTGTCCTAGAATTTCCCATATGGAGGCAGCATCAAGGGTAGTGAGGTATATAAAGCAAGCACCTGGTCTTGGACTGCTTATGCTTGCAGAAAACATAAAGAATCTGACTACTTACTGTGATTATGATTGGGGAGCTTGTGTGGAAACAAGAAGATCAGTAACTGGCTATCTGGTAAAGTTTGGAAATGCCCTGGTATCTTGGAAGTCCAAGAAGCAAAGCACTTTCTCTAGAAGCTCAGCTAAAGCAGAATTCAGGAGTATGGCCTCCTGTGCAGCAGAAGTTACTTGGTTGATAGGGTTATATGCAGAACTGGGAATCAAAGTTTGTTTGCCTGTGAAGTTAGTATGTGATAGCAAGGCAGCAATTCAAATTGCTGCAAATCCAATCTTTCATGAGAGAACAAAGCATATTGACATTGATTGTCATTTGTGAGGGAAAAGCTATGTGAAGGAATGCTGAAGACTGAATATGTACACACTGAAGATCAATTGGTAGACCTACTAACTAAGAGTCTTGGAAAAGCTCAACATGAGCATCTGTTGAACAATTTTGGGTTGAAGAATGTGTATCAATCATCAGCTTGAGGGGGAGTGTTGAAGGGTTAAATAAACAAGCTGATAATTAACTGTAGTTAACTGTTATTGTAATCACTAACTAGGTTGGTTAGTTAGTTAGTAAAGATAGTTAGTTGGTAGTTAGAAGAAGATATAAATATCTTCTTAGCTTAGCTTAAATGCAGAGCAGTTCCTTTTTTCTCATTTCAATGAAATAGTGTTTTCTTCCTCCTCTCATTTACTGCTTCAACTCGTCTTCTATCTGAGCTTCAAATCTGCTATCCATGGCAGCTAACAACACCCACGTGATTGTTTGTGTAGATACCATACCTGTTAGTCTCGAGGTAGTATATTAGAAAATAGCTATAAGGTTGGTAATTAAGGGCATTAATAATTATGACTTAGGAAAAAATCAGTCAAATCCCTGATTGCACGTGATTTGCTATTATTGTCTCAACTGTTACAAATCGCTCACGTAACAGTCAATTAATACAATAAATGTCAGTAACGAGCATGAGATAAACAAGGCAGGCGGTTATAAGAAATAGCACTATTTAAACCCCCTATCCATAACTTGTATCCCATCAAAAAATCTATCAAATCATACTGTCATTTATCAATATCCTTACCGTTTTGTATTATTTGAAAAATTGTTCTTTCCTACCGGAAGAAAGCGGCAACCATCAATAAGATTTCTATTTCCTTATTCTCTCAGTTTAATTCTTTATTATCGTTATTCTTTGTTCATGCCAAATATATTTGGAAAAGTGAATTAAATTGGTTGCCAGAAGCTCGAATTATTCTATTTGTTTGCTTAACATCAAATACTACTTTTTGGGTTAAACGAATTGATTTTGTACTGGAATCTGAAAATCATTTCACATATTGTTTATATATTATCTTTAACAATAAAATTATGTCTGGCACTGACCAAATTACTCAGCAGGGGAATGGACAAGGGGGTCTACCCCACACAATTCACCCACACATTATCCACAACGTTCACGTGATAACTCACCCGTTAGTTCTGCTAGTCGCAACATTGAGCAACGAAGTGAAGAACAATCAGGTTTGCATGACAATTTGAAGCAATTCATCGTTCAGCAGATATGTGAAACATTACGAGCTTTAAGAGGCAGTGTGTCAAAAATAGTTTCAGCTCCACCACCAGTTAATAAAATTATAGAAATTCCCCAATTCGGGGCTTGAAAACTCAAGGAGTGAAGAAATCCCAAACAATTCTGGAGCGGGAGGTTCAGGTACGCCAAATAATCTTGATTTACAAAATCTAATTCTAACATTGCAGAAACAGCTCAAGGACAAAATAAACCGATAGAGCAGATATCGGGTGTACCACCGATGATCAAAGGTGTGGATATGGACAAATATTCACAATAGTCATGGAAACCAAGCACAGAACCATTGCTGATACCAAAGAACATTAAAATTCTAGATATTCCTAAATATAATGGTCCAAGCTATAATACCCTGTATTTATGGATAAGTGTCATACAAGGTACCAAATGACCATGATATAAGGTATATGAAGTATATTAGTATTTAAGTAAATTGTGTGCTAGAATTAAGTATGTGAATAATTAATTAATTATAAGAATAATTATGGTATTAAATACGATTAAGTGGATAATGACTTTTAATGGGTTGCCACGTGGCATTAAGTTAGGTCAAGGGTGGCACCAATGTGCATAGATGAGTCATAAGCACTTGATGTGCCCTATTTAAACGTGAAAGTGCAAGACCTATCCATTAAGCTTTATGTTATTCTTCTTTGGCAATTTGAGATACAGAAAGGATGTTGAAGACTTTCCTTCTATTGTTGGGGATCCTCTTACCTTAGAACATAGCAAACAATGTATACACATAATACTCGATATATTCAACAACATGAAGTATGCCATGATCATAAGAAGTGCTTAGTTCTTGTTCAAAGATTCAGAAGGAGCAAAAGTTGTTCTTGGCAAGCTCAAGTAAAAGTATTTGATAAATTCGTCAAGTAAGGTATTTTAAGGCTATCCTTTCTTTCCTTTTGGAATGATCCATATGATACAAACGAAACGAGCAAATGCACAACTTTCATAAATGGCTCTATTCATAGAAGTACTAGGGGTGCCTATGTTCTTGATTACCCATGTATCCTATTATTATATCGTCTGTTCATGGGTCTCAGAAAATACGTAAGTTGATAAAGTTTATTTCATAATATTAATCGAAGACATAATGATCTTATGACATTTCGAGAGATCCCATTGACTTACTTCATTATGCATTGCATTCATTTATGCATGTGCATTGACCCATCACTAGATGGCGTTATATATGCATATATTATATGTATATGGGAAATGGGAAAAGGTTCTGGTGTTATATACGCACCACCACATGATCAGCTGGTATACGTTAATGATTTTGCCCACAGTGGCCGAGATGATATGATGGGATGCCCTCAGAGGCTTGATCATGTTATGTACGCACATAATATGCATCATATGATATTTATACGCATATGCATGACATTATAAATATTAAATGTGTCACAGAGCTATTCAGACTTACATGTAGAGTCTTTTACTCCATGTTTCTCTCATGTCTTTTATTTACTGATGTTCATTCCTTACATACTCGGTATATTATTTGTACTGACATCCCTTTTGTCTGGGGACGCTGCGTTTCATTCCCGCAGGTCCTGATAGACAGGTTGAGAGTCATCCAAGTAGGCTATCAGCTCAGTGAAAGTTGCTGGCACACTCCATTTACTCCGGAGTTTCCTATTTAGTCAGTATGATTTGGACATGTATTGACTAGTATGGTGAGGCCCTGTCCCGACCTTTATGACATATATGTACTCTTAGAGGCTTGTAGACAGATGTCATGTATATGGGTACTTGTATGGTCTTGTCGGCCTATGTTTTAAGTATACAAATGATCATGTCAGCCTTATAGGACCGTATGTCATATGTTTAAGACGGTATATCATGTTGGATCGTCCTATGTCGAGTATTTCCTCATGTTTTATTCTAGTTATCTCACGGCAGCCTTTGCGTCTCATATACCATGATAGTATGATACGAAAGATATGTTATGTTGGTACTCGGTTGAGTAAGGCACCGGATGCCCGTCGCGGCCCATCAGTTTGGGTCGTGACACGGGAGCCCAAAAATTAAAGAAGAGAATAAAATATATCTTCAAAATATAGCAAGAAAGCACAAAATTACTTAGAGAATTTATAGATTGCTTCCAACGAGAGAGGATTTTTCTACCCCATGTACCTAATAATTAGGCAGCGATAGCTTCTGCGAGAAACTTGAATGAAAGAAGTTCAGAAGCTATGAGAAGGTTAAAGAAAAGTTTACGAGAATTTCCACCAACCACTTGGAATGACGTTTATAACAGGTACAACACTAAGCTTTGAATAAAGGAAGATACTGTATCACAACCAAAGGTGGAAGACAGGTTCAGGACTAGAAGATCAGAGTTAGAACGAAGATGCAAAAAATAGGTACAAGCCTTATATGGGACCAGCAAAGCGATATCACGTGCCGTAACTAGAACATGTACGATTTGATCAAAGGTCAAGGTGAAAGGAAGTAGGCTCTTCTTCTCGATTTGGAAAAGAACGGGAAATGACAAGGTACAATGACCAGAATCCCATACCAAAATTAGTGGATTTTAATTTCAATATAAGCACTTCGAAGTTAGTAGTGGTACCAAGGCATGTGAGATAAGGTATGATGGCCTAAAGATATAAGGTCGGATCTTAGCAAAAGAAGACAAGAATTTTGGTATGAATTCTATAATGATCATGGTCATAGGACGACGAATTGTAGGATTTTATAAGCAGAGGTTGATAATCTGTGAAGAAAGATTATCTCACTAATCTATTTAGTGAGAAAGGTAAGCAATCTTATATAAAAAATAGGGAAGAATCACATAAGCCTTAATCACCAAAAAGAATATTGAATATCATAACCGGAGGTAAAGAAGTTAATGGAGTAACATATACAATGAAAAAAAGAAGAATTAAAATATATCTGACACATGGAAAGTGTATTCGACAAATCCTAGAAGGAGAGGGCATAACATTTGATGACGAGGATGCAGATGGCTTGTTCATACCCATAGTGACGCATTGATAATTTCTCTACTTGTTCAAGATACTAATGTGAAACGAGTTTTGATTAATCCAGGTAGCTTAGTAAACATTGTATTACTATGAGTAGTCAACGAAATGAAACCAACAGATCGCAAAACACCCAAGGCCCGTTCTCTGTCCGGGTTTAACAATTCAATTGTAATAACCAATGGAGAGATTACATTATCTAATTTCGCAGAAGGGGTAGTGAAAGATACCAAATCCCAAGTGGTAGAGGCAAACATGGTTTATAACATGATTTTAGGAAGGCCTTGAATTTATGAGATGGATGCAGTACCATCGACTTTGCATCAAGTTATCAAATTTCCACCTAGTGGGGGATTTTCATATCAGAGGAGATCAACGAGCTATACGAGAAACAAATACGGTGAATATAGCAAGTGGAACAACCAGAGATGGATAAGAAAAATAACAACTACAGTACTAAGCTGAGGAACCCACCAAACCTTCAGTGATTGCAATGACAGACATGAGAAATAAAGCAGACAAAGACGCAAGGCCTGATATGATTCAGGAACCGGTGGAAAACGATGCTATCAGAAGAGCTCGAAGATGTTATGTTATTTTTCCATTGGCCGGAAATAAAAGTTTACGCTAGAACAAACCTAAGCCCAGAACTAAAGAGTAAGTTAATTAAATTATTACGCGCTAATGTTGATTGTTTTGCTTGGTCACATTCAGATATGACAGGTATACCATTGGAGGTA